GACATGGATTCTTTCCTTTTTCTTCAAGGCAACCAAGATGATGATATTTTATTTAAAAAAAAAATTCAAAAAATCACAACCTAAATTATTCATAAAAGCGATATGTCTCGTAAGACTTAATATACTTGAAAAATAAATAGAATTAAACTAAATCAGCAGCTTGAAAATTCGTTATTTCCGAAAATATTGTGCTAAAGCTCCTGTCAAGGTATTTATAACAATTTTTAAATTAATTACACAATTTATTTTAATAAATTTGGTCAATTAATTGTATCTTTTAAAGAGACTATCATGGTTGAGAATTAGGTCACATTGGCTTTATTTGTCTCAGTCATCGAGTTTGTTTCTTTCTATTGATGGGTAGGGCTTGGTATTCGATGGGCAAGAGGAAAGTTAAGTCCATGGCTGATGAATGAGACTGATTTTAACTAACAAATAAATTTCATTCATTCCCTAGGGAGTTGTAGGTTTGAACTTATATAATTTAATTTTCACTTAAAAACTAAACTTATGACATAGTGACAATCAAATGCCTAAGTAACACTAGCCACCAGTATATACTTTCCATGAATATTGCTTAAAATAAAACCCTCACGGAATAAATTAAAGAAGAATGCTAGGTATATAGTATTCTTTACACTTTATTTGACAGTCCTCTCACGTTACATGGACAGACCCCGCGATTAAAATAAATGCGGATCTCACTTGTGTGAGTGGGTTGTCAAAAAAAGTCACTTGGCATTTCTATAAATCAAAAGATAATTTGTTTAGGTGTCTCATTATCTATACAACGATTTGATGAGGTAATAACATTTTTTTTGCATTTTATGTCCTACGAGACTCCCACCCAACTAATCTTTAGGATGAGCTACTGCAGGTTATCGATCAACAAAAAGCCAAACAAGCTTCCCACCACTACGTATAAAGAATGATAAACTGGTAGAGAGAGTTTCTATTGAATCTATTTGTAGAGGCACTTCAAGAAATATGGGCCAAACTTCCTTCTATTTCTAGAATCTTCAACAGGTAGAATGATCGAATTATTTGGGCAGCCATCTCTGGCGAAAAATGTAATATCTTTATTAAATTAAAATAACTCAAAACCAAATGTTAGTCAAACATGTCATGCTATATTAAAAAAAATAAAGGGAAGTAAAAACAAAAGGTCAGGCGGTGCATTGATTTTATACCAATCCATTGCCATACAAATCCATTTCAATAATGCCAAACAAATCCATTTGCCTTAACATGCAAAAACATGCGGAGAGAAATCGAGATACAGAGAGAAAATGAAAGAAAAAAAAAAAAAGAGAGAGAGAGAGAGAAAGAAGAAAGAAGAAAAAATAGAAAAATTTTGCCAAGTTGTTAGAAAATAAGGGGTGTATACTATTAAGCTTGAATTTCTCAATTTTGAAAGGTAAGTAAAAAGTTACTGATTGTCAAGTTATGTTTAATTTTATAGTTGTTAGAATTTTAAACTAAATTCAATTTTATTGAAGGAATTAAGTATGATAAACTACGAAATTGAGTAAAGTGAAAGAAAAACTAGTTTTAGTGATTAAATAGACTGTAGAAATCGCTTAAACGTGAAATAATTAAGTTTGAGTATCGCCTATTTAATTATTGAAATTATTTAAAATAATTAATTGTTTATTTAAAAATTATATCGTATTTCAGGCGACGATACTGATATCTGAACAGCTTACCAACCGGATTGATTTTATGAATATAGTACTGTGAGTGAAAAAATATAAATACTTTTAAAGTATTTATAAATTAAGTTTATTGTTAAAGTATGTGCAATTATATGCAATTATGTGTTCGAATTACATGATTATTATAGAAATATCTTTTATTATGATACATGTAGAATTTCTAAGATTGTATACGTTATATTGTGAATTGGAATATGAGATATGATTTTGAGATCGACCAGAAAAGTACCCGTGATTATATATTTCTTCTAGTTCACTGAAGGGCTTTGACCGTATTCTATACTACACTGAGGGGGTCTTGGACCGGGGATGAAGGGGTCTCGACCGTGTAAATATAGTTCACCGAGGAGCCTTTGCCGTGTTCTAGAATTGATTGTGAGATGTCTTTGAGATCGTCTTTCGTTCACGGAGGGGCCAAAGGCCTGTGGCGAAAGTTCTTAGCCCGAGGGGCGGATTACATATTTTAGTCAGAGGGTACATTTTTGGTGAATTTTTCAGTATGTTTGATGTGATAAAATTATAATGTCGTTATCAGCTGATATTAATATCATGATTTTGAAATGATATTTTACGACCTTATATGAATATTTCTCTTTTGGTTTTAATTACATGATGTTATCTTGTGAATTATTAAATGATATGAACTTGATTTTCAATAGAAATGTAAAATTGAAAAAATATAATTATTTTCGAACTTCTCCACTCACTGAGTATCAACTCATATATTTTCCCACGATTTTTCCTGCGGGTAACAATTGATTTTTTTTAGCTGAAAAAACCTAATGATTTTGGAATAATAGCCACACGACATGTTGAACATTATAACTCATATTGATAAAGTACGAAGTAAATATTTTGGGCCCATTGCATTATGTTTTACATAAGCATTTAATTTTGTTGCATTTTTTTGAAATAACTAATAGTTAGTTTTGGTGATAGATTTGACATCTAGTCAGCATCTATCATCGGCGCACGTCACGTTTGGAGTCCACTAAGGTAATTCGGGACGGGTCGTGTTAGAAAAGTTTCCCACAAAAAAAGGGGAAAAATATATATCTGGAAGTCATTAGGCACGTCTTATTTTGGTTCAAAGGTTGATTCTTTCGTCGTTCAATTTCTAGAATCTTCAGCAGATAGAATGATCGAATTATTTGGGTAGCCACCTCTTGTTGGAAGTTCTCGATCAAGAAAAAATTAAAAAGATAAAAACTACCCGGAAGTCATTGGGCACGATTTATTTGGTTCGAAGGTGAATTCTTTTGTCATTTGATTTTGACCGTGGCAAGATTATTGAAGCACCTTTTTCCCAGTTATTTTGTTAAAAAATGGAATAAGAGGCTGAACAAAAATACCAAGGCCAAAGTCATCAACCACCGAAGGAGGCTTTTCGAATTACACCAACACTAAGCCCCTGTTTTGTTTAGTGAAAAAATAACTTTTAGCAGATTTTAATAAAATTTAATAAAATGTGAGGTTGAGAAGTTGATAAAAATTATGAATATATAGTGAAAAATTAATTTGAAGAAAAATGACGGTCAAATATGAGTAGCCCATGTTTGGCCCTCATTATATGAAAAAATTAATGAGTGGAATAGTATTTTTTTGAGAAATGAGTGTTTGAAAAAGAAGGAAAAGTTTTCGATTTACGTATAATATTATTTTATGTAAGATTGTGTGGTTAAAAATAGGAGAGATAAAAATGAAACGTAATGAAATGAAAATTAATGGGAATCAAACGGGTCTAAATTTCACATCGACCATTTGTGTTATTTCTCTCTCCTTTCTTGCAATGCATTCACGATTATCAATGACCAAACTTTGAAATTAGCCAATTAGGCTTGAAGACAAGAAAGATCAATTAATTTGAACGACTTTGTTAATAAAACTAGATCATACCTAATGGCTAAATCCCAACTCAAATATAGTACGTCTAATATATTTCCTTAGTCCAAAAGATAAAAGTAGTTTATATTACTATATTGGATTTTTTTTAAGGAAAAAATTACAGAATTCATACAATATTTTAAAATTAAAAAATCATGTTCGTCTGTATTTTATTTTTTTCCCATCTTTTAATGATGTTTCAACACCCACGCTTGTGAAAAATTTTCTAAACAAAAACCCGATACTTATAGCATAACTCTACTATATTATGCCCGTGTTTGATTTTCACTAAAAAATCGAATTTAAAAATTCAAGTGAAAATTAGTAATTAATTTTAACTATATATTTCATGGGTAGTAAGATTTTTTAATCACAAATTTCCTCATTTTTTTTAATCAAAATGTGCCAAAAAAACTAATTCAGATATATTTTAACTTAGTCCCATTTTGGCATTAATTAAAATTCAAAATTTAATTTAAGTCAAAGTTAACAATGAATTTTAACAACGTTTTTATGTGTCTCACAACTTTTCAATTACACATTTCACCAACTTTTATTAAAATCTACTAAAAATTTAATTGTCATCTTCATCAAACAGTGACTTACCCCCCGTTTGGTAGCTATTTTTTTCAAAATGCATTTTTCTCTCTTTTCTTTTCAATCACACATTCTTTATTAAAATAATATTACACGTAAATTAAAAACTTTTCCTTATTTCTCAACCACACATTTCACATCAATTTACTATTCTAAAATGTATTTTTACATAAAAATGTCTACCAAACACCCCATTAATTTATTTTATTCTCAATCAACGTCAGCAATGGGTTTGCATTCGATTTTACTATTTTATTACCAATATATTCATGACATGTACCAATTTTTTATTTAAAAAAAGAAAAGAAAAAGTGATCGGTGCATATTATTTTGTCACCTTCACAATAAAAAACAAATCAATCAATCCTCACAAATATCATTTTTCCAAATACAGAAACAATCAAAGGGAAATTTGCCATAAATCGTCCACCAACTTTTATATGTACAAAAATCAGTCTCAATTCTTTTTCCTTTTCTTTCGACTACTCACTCCACAACATAAGGTTTTAATGCAAAAATTTTAAATAATGCAAAAATTGTCATCTAAATCTCGAACATCTGATTTATAGTCGTTGATTAAAATTGTTGGAAAGTAGTATTTCGGACAAAACTTTTGGTCAAGGAGTGGACTGTCTAGAAAAGAAAGAATAAATACTAATTTCACATATAGCCTAATAAGTTGGGGATGATTTGTGCAAATTTACCGAAACACTGTTGTTCATAAGATATCTGATAATATTTCCTTAATTTATTAACCGCTCGCGCTACTCGTGGACAGCAATTCCAGTACAAATATTAAACGAGCTCGAGCAATTCCCAATCTCTATACGATTAGTGTGTGTACTGTGTGAAAAAACATCATGGATTTCCTCACAATTGTCTTAGGATTATTATTTGCACTCACCTTAATCCAAGCCTTCCGCTCAATATCCACCAGAGGCAAGAACCTACCACCAGGGCCGACGCCGTTGCCGATAATCGGAAACCTCCACTTGCTCGGTGATCAACCCCACAAGTCTCTTGCTAAACTGGCCAAAACTTATGGGCCAATCATGTGCCTCCGTTTTGGCAGTATAAATACGGTGGTGATCACCTCCTCCGCCATGGCGAAGGAGGTTCTGCAAAAACAGGACCTTGCATTTTCGAGTAGGCATATACCTAATGCCATCCATGCACACAACCAGTTCAAGTATTCCGTGGTGTGGCTGCCGGTGGCATCGACGTGGCGCAGCCTCAGGAAAATATTGAACTCTAATATGTTTTCCGGCAACCGGTTGGACGCGAACCAGCATTTGAGAGTCAGGAAGGTGCAAGAACTCATTACTTATTGCCGGAAAAATAGTCAGGCCGGGGAGGCAGTGGATATAGGCCGGGCTGCATTCAGAACTTCACTGAATTTGTTGTCTAATACGATTTTCTCTAAGGATTTAACGGACCCTTTTTCAGATTCGGCCAAAGAATTCAAGGACCTGGTTTGGAATGTAATGGTGGAGGCTGGGAAGCCTAATCTTGTGGATTTCTTCCCTGTTCTTGAAAAGTTAGACCCTCTAGGTATTACTAATTATCTTGTCTACAAGCTCATATATATTTTTTATTTAAATATTGTATTTAACACGTCATCACTTGTATATGTGTTCAATTTTCCATAAATAAACAGGTCTATCTAACAACTTAATGTTGTTTTGAACAGGTATACGGCGCCGCATGACTATTCATTTTGGCAAGATCATAGAGCTTTTCGGTGGCTTGATTAATGAAAGGTTGAAGAGAAGGATGTCCGATAATAGCAAAAACAGTGATGTGTTAGATGTCCTCCTTGACACCAGCCAAGAAAATCCAGAAGAAATCGATAGGGTTCATATCGAACGCTTGTGTTTGGTATGTGTTTCTTCTTTCCACCGTCTTAACACACACCTATCCAGGACCCCACTAGGGTCAGAGCTAAGGGACCAAAAAAATTTGAAAAAAAATAAAAAATAAAGCTAGTGAGTTGGTACATAGAAATTTTCTTTTAGGTTAAAAGGATAACAATATTAAAAAAAGAGAAATCCTTGATATCTTAATTATAGTGATATCTAATTATGTTCAATATTGCGTGGTAATTATTCTTAAATGGTACCTAGAATATTATATATAGTCCTTATTTGGTGGAATTTTTTTGATAATAAATTCTTTTTGAGAATGAGATAAAAAAAGGAAAATTTACGGATCTACGTTTATATTTTGCAAAAATGATGCATAGTTGAAAATGCGTTTTGAAAAATAAAGACTTAACAAGACGATTATAAGATGTTCTTGGTTTTTCTCCCTTAACCACTCTGCGGGCCTACACTAATGCCACACCACACAAGTACAAACAACATCTATGAGAACAAAAAGTTATAACTTTCCCCTATGCTAGAACTGTATCATACCCTTGTCTGGTTTTAAATAAAAATAAGATTTTTATTAGATTATAGTTAAAGTTGATGGAACGTGTATTTGAAAATTTTTGAATTTTATACAATGCGTGGTTAAAATTAAGGAAAATTCTATTTGTACATAATTATTGCACATAATAATGTCCATAATATGATATGTCAATCATCCGATTGTTGATGTGCAAGTGTGAAATTTGAATTAAAGGTTGGATCTAGTGCGACGTGTAATTATGTACACCATTATGTAGACTATTATGTACATGTAGCACTTCCCTAAAATTAATTGTTAACTTTGACTTAACTTTTAATTAATTTTTTTATCTAAACCAAATAGGACCTTATTTAACTCATGTTTGATGTTTATTATTTTGCAAAAAAAAAAAAAAAATGATGTTTTGAATAGTATTTTTTGAAGAATATATGATTAAAAAGTATGAAAATTTGTTAAGTTTATGTGCCCAGTATTTTATTATGTTAATGTGGTTGAAAATAAGTATGAGAATTAAAAAATTTTGTTTTAAAGGGAGATAAATCTGGACTTAAAATGTTATGTCTTTAGTAGTTTTTGTTTTAAAGGGAGATAAATCTGGACTTAAAATGTTATGTCTTTAGTAGATACCTTGATAACGTATATTTATTTTTTTTCGTAAAAATCTAACACGTGCACAATTTTATTATAGGACCTATTCGTTGCGGGAACTGATACAACTTCGAGCACACTAGAATGGGCAATGGCAGAGACACTCAAGAATCCAGCAACAATGAAGAAAGCCAAAGCCGAGCTTGAGGAAGTGATTGGAAAAGGAAAAGTTTTAGAAGAAGCCGATGTTTCTCGGCTTCCATATCTCCGGTGCATGGTGAAAGAGGCCCTGAGGATACACCCGCCGGTTCCATTCTTGATTCCACGCAGAGTCGAACAAGACGTGGAGGTCTCCGGCTACACCGTGCCGAAGAACTCGCAAGTGTTGGTGAATGCATGGGCTATTGGACGGGATCCAACTCTGTGGGAGAATCCATTGGAGTTTAAGCCAGAGAGGTTCATGGAATCTGAACTGGATATTAGGGGAAGAGATTTTGAACTGATTCCATTTGGCGCTGGAAGAAGAATTTGCCCTGGATTGCCTTTGGCTATTAGAATGGTGCCTGTAATGTTGGGTTCACTTGTGAATTCGTTTGATTGGAAACTTGAAGGAGGCATTTCACCCAAGGATTTGGATATGGAGGAGAAGTTTGGAATCACTTTGCAAAAGGCTAATCCTCTCAGAGCTGTCCCTACTCCATTGTAAAACCGTACACTGATCGACTGATAATATCTAAACTCAATAATTATGGTATCAAAATAAAAACTGTTATCATTTCAGCGTATAATGTGTGTTTATGTACGCAATTTTATTTTTTATATGACAACATAATGAAGAATAATTTCTGTATGGAAGGAATGGTTCCGTTCTAAGCTTAAATATCGTCAATTTCTGCAGCCCTTTGCCTTCTGATCATGCCATGCCAGACATGTACTTGTTGCCATTGGAATTAGGTCGGCTCCTTAGTTTTCTGGCACGAGTTCCTATTTTGTTCAGTTAAAAAGTTGGATTAAAATCTTTGCCGAAATTAATAATTAATTTTAAGTGTAATTAGCACAAAACGTCTTTACCTTTCATAATTTTTGTGAAAAACGTCCCTACCTTTAATAATTTTTTGTGGAAAACGTTCCTACCTTTCGCTTTTTGGCGTATTTTGTCCTTACCTTTACCTTTTCTTATACAAAACATCATTTTCATCATTTTTCTCAATAAAAAGCTATTAAATGACTAATATACCATTCTATTTAAATAAAAAAATAAAGAACTAAATGCAATCGTAGTTCCAAATAAAAAAATAAAAAAATTCTCCACCTCCACCTCCTCTTTTGAACTTTTTTAAAAATTGGAACTATGATTGCAATTAGTTCTTTATTTTCTTTTTTATTTAAATAGAATGGTATATTAATCATTTTATAACTTTTTATTGAGAAAAATGATAAAAATGATATTTTCCACAAGAAAAGGTAAATGTATGGATGAAATGCACCAAAAAACGAAAGGTAGGAACGTTTTCCATAAAAATCATGAAAGATAGGGACGTTTTGTATTAATTATCCTAATTTTAATCATACGATTCATTAACTCTCATTAAAATCTACTAAAAATTTATTTATTTTATCTAAACCAAAAAGGGGCCAAGGTTTCATGGATTACTAGCCGCCTCCACCTAATATATGTTTAGTCTTTGTTTGGTTTAGATTATAACCTGAAAAGAAAAAAAAAAAAAAAAAAAAAGTCCAAGTTGACAAATAATTTTAACCACATATTTTTATTGAACTCACAACTTTTCAACCATAGTAAACCAAATAGGGAATAACATCTATGATTGCAGTGACTAATACTTCAAGATTATGTTGATTGTTCTTCTAGGAAGTCATTTTTCTTCTATCCACCCTTAATTCATTAATTATCATGTCATCAAATTCGACATATTCATAACCAACCTTGCAAGTAGTCCAAACAAATCTATTCCCCTAGCTAATTATGAAGACATTCACTACATCCATAGCTGTACACAGCTAGTGGCGGATCCTATTAGACCAAAAATCGATCCAAAACATGCAGAAACAAATTGGATCGAAAAATCAAAATATTGCACGGATCGAGTTCATACCTCTGGCCATTGATGTTGTTCCAGAAGCTTTCCTTTTGTTCCAGGTAATGGAACTTCTAAATTATCAATACACTAAATTGATAGTGTATCTTGTATTTTCGATGGTGAAGCTTAGAGACCCAACCCATCTATATATATAGCCAAAATTCCCATCAAGTTATGGCTTAAGTTACCAATTTTTCAATCAATAGTGGAATTAAGACTTCTATAAATGTTGAAACTAAAAATTCCATGAATGTTGGACCATCAACTGACTGTTGAAGAGATGGAAAGAAAGAAACGGATATGTTAAAGAGTCAACACCTGACGAGGTGGCACGACCTCCTGTTCTGGCTTTATCGAAATTTATGAGTTGGAAGTGAGGTATGACAGTTGCCATCGTTGCAGGCAGCAGAAGACCTAAAGATAGGAAGCTTGAAGACAAGCAGCAATCGCCATTGTTGGGACAAAAGTTTTTTTGCTTTGGACTTTTTAAAAAATAATAATAAAAAAAATATAAAAATAGGCCCATTAATAATATCCATAGCACATAGGTTATACGCCATTCAAAACTTGAGCAAAACTGATTGCTAGCACACTGTTAGCAAAATTGATTGCTAGCCCTATTGTGTGTGTAGCCCAATGCCGAGTGACTAAGTTGGAAAGGTAACTTGCTTGCTGTCGTCCAACGGCCGACTCGACCTCCGCCTCCCACTAGCCTGTCGCCGTTCTCTCTATGTGTGGGAGCCCTTTTTCTTCTTTTTGTTTTTGTTTCAAATTTATATGGATATGTCATACGTGAATAATGCATGTATATGCTCTGTTTCTTTTTCTCTCTTTATCTTGTGAAAAAAAAAAAGGTTAAACCCCAACCTTGAGGGCCTCCAACGCCCCACCCCTGAAGTATCGTGAGAGAGGTAAATCACGGGATGTGCCACAATAGGTCAGAGAACAAGAGCTTGCTCATACACTAGTGTCCACAAAGAGTCTAATTTCATATCTCAGGAATCGAACCCTCACTTTATCTTGTGTACTGTATATCAAGAGGAGTATAAAGGGGTGTGAAAATTATTATATTTAATTATTGCTAACTATTTAACTATTTTATTTTTCAAAGATGCTAAAATAAAAAATAAATTCAATAATTAAAGGGGAACTGGGAAGCTTTCTTAGCGTTAAATTAAGATCCCTTAATCAAATTTTAGGTAAAACGTTGTCTTAAAATAGATATGTGCTTAGGTAACAAAGTGAAAGGGAAAGGGAAAGGGAAAGGCGTGAAATTATAATGGGAGAATTTGTGTGTTGTGGACTGCGTATGACATTTGTGGACTATCGACTGTGAATGCGATTTGTGATAAATAGTAAATTGGGGAACTTGTGATTTGTAATAAATTAGTATTGGAAATTGGAAATTAAAACTTGATAGTAGTTTAAAATTAAGTTTAGTTTATGTTTAATTTTCATACAGAAATGAAAGTCTCAACTTAAATATATTTTCATATGTATATGATTTTTATATTTTAGTCATTTACATATACATTGAAGAATTTTAAATATTATTTGATTCAATATTAATAAACGACCTCGTTATTACGATCGTTGATTTCCGACGATCAATGGTAACGATCATCGATCGTCCTGACCAACAATCCTTGATCTGTCATTGCACACAGCCAACACATTATTTCACATTCATGGGTGGGGTGGGAGTCGTGGGACACTTCAAATTCAAACACATCATAAAATAGGATTATGAGATATCACACAGTCATGTGTTTTTGTGACTTTATTAGTAAAACCATAGTTCAACAACAAAATCGCAAACCCAAAAAGGGGGGGGCGGGGGGGGGGGGGCGGGTACAAAATCGCAAACCCAAAAAGGGGGGGGCGGGGGGGGGGGGGGCAGGGGTGCGAAAATAACAAAAATGCCCCAACAAATATATTATGACCCGCTTCATTTCAGATAAGAATTTTTCTTCTTCGTTTTTTTTTTTTTATTTTTATACTTAGAAAAATAAAATACCAAACTTATGATGGAGTTACTTGTACACTTTTCGCATAGAGTAGACAACTTCATATTCTAAAATGGTACACGACGTACAAATAATTGCATCAAGATTGGGATTAGAAAAATATTCATTATATTTCCTTCAATTGTGAAATATTTGACAAGGAAATCAGAGATCACATATTTGTAGGGGTGGATCTAGGAAAGTTTTTCAATGCGGGCAAAAGTTTCTCGGATTCAGCATGCACTCGTAAGTTAAGTTCTTGCCCAAGCCCACTTAAACGACATAGTGCAACCCTACCATGGACACTTGAGGGGCCTATCATCATCATGAATGTGATGGTGTTGTACTGAATATTTGTGGGAGTTGAATTTCTACCTACATGCATCAACTGGTCACTGATTGTGTTTGTGAAGGAGAAGCTCTGTTTTCGTCTTGAAACTCATTCAACAGACTTCTAATTCACAATTGTGAGGTCTGGTTTCATGCTCTTTCTTATCCCTGTGAGGGAGACAATCAACAGAAGCATTCCTCGCCTTCTTAACAATTCACCACTTTTTCTTTTTCTTCTTCTTCTTCTTCCTCCCTTTTATTTTTTTTTTATTTTTTTAATAACACTTGGGCTGTGATGGCCCATACACTACAACAAAATTTTGATTTCGCAACATGACATTTTTGCGACGTACAAAATGTTGTCACAGCAAGTGATTTAGTGTGACACATTTTTAAAGTTTGTCGCAAAGGTTGTGTGGAATAAAAAAAGAAAAAGTCCCAAACAAATATAAGGTGACATAAAAAGTTGTTGTAAAATGTTAAATTGCGCGACAAACATTAAAGATTGTCGCAAAAAATGATGGAAGCATGGTGCCAAAATATTTTTTGGCTGCAAATTTATGACGACGAACTTTTTTTTTTCAACAAAATATTTGTGATGCATTAGGATCTACCTTTGTGACAGTAAAATATTTGTTGCAAAAAGTTTTATTTTTCAATTTTCATTTTTCCACCATTTGCATCATTTTCCCGACCAAATATATGTATCTACACATTATACAAAACAGACTCATTAGCCCAATCTCATATTAAAAACTGTTGACCTCTAAAAATGGCTCTTCCACGTGGTCAACTTGTAGCTACTCCACGTATTCCTCCCTACGAAATGAACAAAC